CCAGAAATAGTACCTCGGGTTAAGAACTTGGCTTCAGGATGAGAACAGAAATTGGGCAGCGGTGGCAGCAGGAGGCCCCATTAGCTAAAGTGGTACCTCAGGTTAAGAACTGTTTCAGGTTAAGAACGGACCTCCAGAACGAATTAAGTTCTTAACCTGAGGTACCACTGTAGTGACATGTTTTTGGAAAAGGATGTTGGAGTTTCCCCTTTTACACACATCTGTGTCACCTTGAACTGCTCTTCTCCATTGTCACTACCTTAACCAAAGAACTGTCATGATACATTGATACTGAAGTACACTATAATACACCAGCTCTGCAGTCAAGTGGAGTTTTCCTCTGCACTTAATCTCTTAATCTTGATGGCCTGCTTTTTAACATACTCTCATCCTGCACATGCTAACACCTGCTATGCTAACACTTTAAGTGGCATGCACCTGATAATCCTGAAACCCTTTTCAAATTTTGAATATAACTATATACAGATGTAAAACTACTAGTTTGTTTTCAAATGGATGGACGGCCAAACACAGCTAATCTTGCCACTAATAGTGCTTCTGCATCTGTCTTGCATAGGCCTGTAGCTATGAACACCTATGAAGTTACACCATCAGTCCTCATGGCACCTATTTTTTGGCACTCTAAAGTGTGCTACTGATGCCTTGGTAATGGAGATGATCTGTAACATGGATATATCCATTACACCAGGCTTAGGTAAACTCAGACCTCCAGTTGTTTTGGGACTACAACTCCCATCATCCCTGACCACTGGTCCTGTTAGCTAGGGATGGTGGGAGTTGTAGTCCCAAAACATCTGGAGGGCTGAGTTTGCCTATGCCTGCACTACACCAAACATTCCTCCTTCTCCCTCACCAAGGGATTTGCAGCCCCCACCCAATAATTATCTTGCCTTTTAGGCTTTTTGACATTATTCAGGTGATTTGTTTCAGTAGGAACTCCTAATTTCCCATTCCTTTCCACTTTACTGCAGACAGCATTTCTGTGACACCTCTGACCACATACCCATCACAATATTTTCTTCCTAAATAATATTTATAACTCCTTGATACAGTGATTATGATTTGTTTTCAGTAACCTTACTTGGTTCAGTTTGCTTAACTGCCTCAAATGGCTTTATTCATTGAATATTGTGACTCCTCTTAGATAATTTAGCTAGGCTCAAATCACTTAGCTCACGGGGATGCCACTCAGTGTCCCTGTTTCAGAAATACCGCCTTAGTCATGAGCCTGCATTCACCAATATTCAGCTCTCTTGAGTAATAACTGAGGATAAATAAATTGGGACCGAGTCATTGTATTCTCCATTTGAGGCAGAAGCTCAAGCTGTCAATATTCCAAAAAGAATTCAGAATTATTTACACACCACAATTCTATATAATCATTCCCATGCTGTTTTAAAAGTCATTAAGGCTAAATTCAAGTATAATTCAAAGGCACTAACATAAATGCCCAGATAAAACATTAAAAACTTTAATCAAAACTCAGCACCATCTCGACCTTCCTTACATTACTTCCAAATATATTATAAGTAATTTGATGGCTCATTAAAAAAATTCATTATGATGGAGAAATAACTCCCACCGGAAAACCAAGTAGCAAGCAAAACAAACCTTATTGAAGTAATGACTTATTGACAACATGACTGAAATATTTCCATTACTGTGTCTTATGTCCATATGTACTTTTACTTAACTATACAAATGAAAACTCATCTATAAGACAGTACATTCTCAGGTAATGGGTGAGCACATGTGAAAGAGATACATTTTGAAATTAGGTTGATTCCTCCATCTGCAATCTGAATTAACATGATTGAACTCTGTTCAAAGCAAATAAATTTAGCAGCTTTTCAGGGTGTTGCTGAATCAAATGTGTTTTTGAAATATAATTTTTTATCATACTGTACTCTTCTAAAATCCTAGTTTTCAAACATGTATTTGTTACGGGTGTGCACTGGCCATGAGATTAAGCTGTTCCTTGTATCTTTAGCTTTGTAGCAAAGCTTGTGTGCGAAGTAGCCCAATCTGTTTCAGAGCTGCTTTGCATATTTCCAATTTGAATCTTTATTTGTGACTGAATCTGATCTGTAAAAATGAAGCTCTATTCCCCAGCTCCATTGGCTGTAATGGGGAATCTTAAAGGGGATATTCCATCCCCCTTTTCACAGTGATAGATGAAATTTTCAGGCGCAGGACCCCATCCTGAATGGACAAAGTTGGCAAAACTGTAGTCAGATACACCCCAAGGACACCTTTCAAACTCGCCCCCCCCCTTAAAGTCTCTTTTTCCCCCTGCCAGAATTTGATGCAATTTTCAGCTGTGGTCACACCTTCTGAAGGGATAGGTAAAAGTAAAGGGACCCCTGACCATTAGGTCAAGTCGTGACTGCTCTGGGGTTGCGGGCTCATCTCGCTTTATTGGCCGAGGGAGCTGGCATACAGCTTCCGGGTCATGTGGCCAGCATGACTAAGCCACTTCTGGCGAACCAGAGCAGTGCACGGAAATGCCGTTTACCTTCCCGCCGGAGCAGTTCCTATTTATCTACTTGCACTTTGATATGCTTTTGAACTGCTAGGTTGGCAGGAGCAGGGACCGAGCAACGGGAGCTCACCCCATCTCGGGGATTCAAACCACCAACCTTCTGATCAGCAAGTCCTAGGCTCTGTGGTTTAACCCACAGCGCCACCTGAAGGGATAAAGCCTGCCAAATTTCAGAATGTTACCTGTACTCTATAGCAGATGGTGGGAGGTATCACTTACCTGACCTCCTGCCACTGGTGTAATTGTGGCTTAACAGGAGGGAGAGGGATGAGGCAGCATTGAGATAGGCACAGTGCAAACACACTGGCAGGAACACCAGATTGGTTCCTCTGCTATGTATGCACCTCCCACTTTTGCATTCCAGTAAGCTATAGCAATGCAAGTGAGTCCTACTGATGGCTACTGGCTGCCATGAATCGCCCCCAAGTTAAGATTTTACCATTTGGAGGTAGGTACAATAGGAATCCCACAGAAACAGGGGTGGAGAATGTTTGTGGATCCCCAGGAGACACTTGAGTGGGGAAAATCTCTGCACCCCATCAGGAATTTGTGGGGAAACAATCTGTTCTCTCTGTGAGAAAGAAATCATTGACTTGTGTAAGAGAGGAGCAATGGTGGTAAAGAAACATGGATTATTAGGCGGGAAAATGCTGCTCTTGGGAAGGATCTTGTTATCCCAATTGTTGGGGGTGGGCTTTCTGGACATTTTTGGAAGGGGAAAGGGAGGAGAGAGAGGAATAGTGTGGAAAAAACCAGCAGGGATTCACATAAAAAACAATCACTTATTAAATTCAGCATCCCTCTCCAAAATCACTGTGATTGGCATGGCCTGGGAAAAGAATTCACCATGATTAAAACCTACTGTCCATCCAAATGTAAGATTCCGCCCCCTCTCTACTTGCTCCCGGGCCCAGGATGGTTTCCCTAGTAAACTTGCTTTACCTTCTTTCTCTCTTCTTAAAAAAAGCAGTGGGCAAATACCACATGTTTTTCCCCTTAGAAGATAAATACAATTGAGGGAGGCACAGTTTTTAATGGAAAAGTGATTCAAGGGGAAAGGGTTAAGAACCGGTTATGGTGATTGCATCTGTTTTTAAAACAGTGGCGATTCCTAGAAAGAACCATATAAATACAGTTAATGTGTACTTTCACCTTAGCAAAGCCAGACCAAAAGAGGTTTCAGATGTTAGGGGATATGAATTCCCTTACAGTTGAGAAACCATATTGTTAGCATAAATTACAACCCACAAAACACTGGCTTCTGCACCATCCCAATTTCCCCCTGGCTCATTGGGGCTATTCCAGATTAAATATTTTGAGAATTGTTTACTACACAATGCATTTGTGACCATGGAATAAATGAAGACATTGATAAATTAAACCTTCACATCCCTTTCCCATTGGGAAGAGCTCAGTCTCCTTAGGTCAGGGATGACATCTTTGGCAGAATATCCTAATAAATGTGCATTCAAGCAAAGAACTCTGCCCTACAGCCAGACAGAGGAGCAGCTTCCAGTGCTACCAGCCCTTCAACCTTCAAGAACACTTAATTCAATAGTAGAAAGAAATTGCAGGAGAGTAAAGTCTCTAAGAGGCCAAGAGCTGTCAAGGTAAAAAAGAAGAAATAAAAAGCAATGAGTGCTTCTTTCCTCCTAATGGGATTTTGAGTCCGTTTGAGTTATTAATTGGCTAATAATCCTGAACCAGTTGCACATGTAGCTGCAGGCTCCCTGTTCTGAAGGCTGCATCAGCAGCAGTCAAGGGACACATCAGCAGAAATGTGACCTTTACCGTCCCTTCTGGCTGCATCGTCTTCTGCTGGCTTGATCTGAGATGAGCAGTGATAAAAAGGAGACAGCCTGGGACAAAGAGAGCTAGCCGTTGTGCAGGGTCCCGCATAGCGGTATTGAGAAGCAGGCACATATTGGTGCTGTTTCCGTGTTCAACCAGAACATTGTGTGTGCAAGGCTGGGTTTTACATGGTACACAGCAATCTACTGTGGACCAGGGAAAACAGAAGTCAGAAATGAGGAAGGGACACTGCCCCCTCAATTTCTCCTATTCTCTTTATGAGCATCATCTATTGTCAACTTGTGCTGCTTGAAAAATATTAGGGGGTGCATGCTCATAAAATGACAGGAACAGCCTGCTAGACTAGATATGGGCCCCACCTAGTTACAACTTCTGGTTTCCAACAGTGGCTAGCTAGCTGGAAGCCACTGAGAAGCCCATAAGGCTTATGATATTGGATCTCTCAAAGTTATATGAACTGTTAACATTTTGCAGTTTTCTTGTTTTTATCCCATAGGAAGGGGAAAGAGCAGTTGACCAGCAGGTACAGAAACAGAATCGGTACCAAACTCCTGTTGTAAAACAGGTTCATCTGGGCAGGATTCAATTACATTGTGCAATGAAATAAATAAATAAATAAATAAACTGTCCAGTAGCACCTTATAGACCAACTAAGTTTGTTCTGGAATAAGCTTTCATGTGCATTCATACTTCTTCAGATACCTGAAAGCTTATACTAGAACAAACTTAGTTGGTCTGGGGTGCTACTGGACAATTTTTATTTCTTTTATTTTTATTTCGACTGCGTCAGACCAACACGGCTACCTACCTGAATCAGTGCAATGAGTCATGCTAGAACAATGGGACTTCCCCCCTCTGCTCATCCCATGTGCATTTGTGTCACTTAAGATCTTCTCAGAAGGGTGAGAGAACCCATCGAACAATGCATGGAATTAGGAGAGGGGAGATCATTCTGTTTGGCAAGCAGAAATGCTTACACTGATGGAACAATCATATAAGTGCGGTGTTTAATTCCACCCTCCTTCTTTTAACTGATGGGAGTTTTAGTCTAAAACATTTAGAATCACTGAACTGTAGAGTAGGGGGTCAACTAGTTCACACCCTGCAATTCAGTGTGGTGAGCCAGTGTGGTGTAGTGGTTAAGAGCGGTAGACTCGTAATCTGGTGAACCGGGTTCACGTCTCCGCTCCTCCACATGCAGCTGCTGGGGTGACCTTGGGCTAGTCACACTTCTCTGAAGTCTCTCAGCCCCACTCACCTCACAGAGTGTTTGTATTGGGGGAGGAAGGGAAAGGAGAATGTTAGTGGCTTTGAGACTCCTTCGGGTAGTGAAAAGCGGAATATCAAACTCCTTCTCCTCCTCCTCCTCCTCCTCCTCCTCCTCCTCCTCCTCTTCTTCTTCAGGAAACACAGCTAAAGAATCCTTGACAGATGGCCAACTGACTTTTGTTTAAAAACTTCCAATGAAGGAGAGTCCACCACCTTCTGAGGGCACCAGGTTGGAGAACACTGCACTCCAGGATAGTGCCTATGAAGCCAAACTGCCAGCCTGAATTATTTAAGTGAAGGCAAACAGCCCCCGGGGTCACTGGTCAAAACTCACTTGGAAAAATGCCTTCCAGAGATGTCAGTCAGGTCCTGAGATTACTTAATTCCAGTAGTCATGAACAGTTATGAGCAGTAGTTCAGGCATTGGTGGCGTTAAGGCTAGATTACTTTAATGCATTCTAGGCAGGGCTTCCCTCACGCTTAATCCAGAAGCTGCAGCACAGTTGCTGGAAGGAGTGATGCTCATGGTGCATTCAGACATGGGAAATATTGCATTAGTTTCCCCAAATATAACGCTAGTGCTTCTGTCCTATTTTCTAACACTTCTTTCACAGCGCAGTACCTGTTACATTATGGAACGGTGCTTTTTTTTACCAATATGCCGGCATGTTGCACTGAATTTCATTCACACCAAGTGAGCATGGGTGACATAACGATGTATGTGATTGGATGCTTTCCGCAGGTGTCTGCCTCTGTTTCTCCATGATTCCACCAAGAAAATGGCAGTACCTACAGAACCAGATATTGCCCCAAATTTCATCACTATACTTACATGATTTTTAGGCTTAACGGGGTTTTTTTCTGGAGGCAATTAATGCAGAAATGAGCATTAAACTTACACTATATGCCACTAGATTTCCACAAGTCACTTTTATGACATGTGAAAGCTCAAATATAAACAGGAAAGTAACAGTTAGGGAAATGTCAGGGAAATGGAATGAGCTGCCATTGGATTGCAGCCTCAATCTGCATATGGTTGCCCATTTGTTATTAGGGCAAGTTATCTGTATATGTTCTGTTAGTATATAAAGCCCTTAACAGCTTGAGACCAGTTTGCCTGCTTAAAACATTTTTGTTTAGATCAGCCTATCTAAACATATTGGAGTTAAATGGGTTTTATTTCTGTTTAGATACTGTTATTTCAGTATTTTGGAAATTTTTTAATACCTGTTTTTACTGAGAATCTCGATGTTTTCTTTTATATTTTTGTAAACTGCTTAGGGGTGTGTGTGTGTGTGTATAAATTTTGCTAAATAAAAGCCTAGTTTATTGTTCCAAAAGACAACATGCAATTCTTCAGATGGATCATGCATAAGTTTCTGAAAGCCATTATCAATGTCAAAATAATGAGGTCATAATGAGCCACAATATTATCTAGTACACTTCCTACAACAAGTTTTTATATGAAAGAACATATTCTTTACAGCAGTGTTTAACAAAACATAATTTTGGATGGTTTTTTAAACGTATCTTCTGGTTCTGTGCCTTATGGTCATATTTCAAAGGTATTTTCTCAGTTGTGTGGATATGGAACACATTAACGAAAGAGGGGAAAGTTGTGGTTACCAGCATTCTAATTATAGATCGTTCCTTGGCCATCGCATTAGAGTATGCAGTACAAGTTCTGCATATTCGGATCTCTCAAAGGGCCTTTGAACTGATAAATTACTTAAATCCTCTTAGACATATACTTGGGGTTAAATGATGGTCCTTTGTGCATATTTTATTTTAAACTGTAACATTAAAGGAAAGGAAGCATAATTGGGGGGCCTTTCTCTATTGTCTCTTCCCCCCTTTTTTGTTATGAATAGACCTGTCAGTTACATCAAAGCAAATTAGGAAAACAACCAGATCACAAGCATTAGCAAAAGTGGAGAAGATTGACATGTTTCAAATGTATTGTGCTTGCCTGATCTGCATTCTAAATCATCTGCTGGTTGATTGCCAGGCTGCCAATTGCATGTTAGGCTTTCTTTGTCCTAACAGTTCCAGTTTATATATGCAAATAAAAATCATTTTAGAAATTTGAGAATGTACCAGGAAGCAGCGTGGTCCTCCCCCCCCCCCCAAAAAAAATAGAACTTCTCTCCTGATCTATTCCAGATTCAACTGATTTAAACCACCAAACAGAGAACCTGAATTTAAATCACCCATTTAAATCAGCCAGTCTATTAGCACTTATTTTGTAAGGAAAGGTGCATTGCATTGCAGCTTGCCATTAAAATATGTTATTTTACAACTAAACAAGACCTTTACTGGTACACCTTACTTTTAAGATACATATTCATATTGTCAGGAATTGTACTATTATAGCAAGTGCTTTTTTTTCTGGGGGACGCAGGGGGATGCATACCCCTAAACATTTTGTGAATCTATGTTTGGCCTCGTTGAGGGGCAGTATTTCAATATGAGTAGGAAAATGACATTTTTTAAGAAAAAAGAACTGATTTATAGCAGTGCAATTCACCAGTTTCTCAGGTAAGAAGGAAAGCCAATTGTTTAGGTAAAAGCTCTCAGAAATATTTTGAGAAAAGGGTTACCATAATCATTTTCAGTCAGATAACATATTATTTAATGGTGACAGAGTCCAATTCAGATTTGAATAATTTTCTACACTAGTGTCTTTGCATTTATGGCACTGTGCTGCTCAGTAAGGAAGATTATGCTTGATTTTAGCTCTGAAGTTAACATGTGTATGCTACCAAATAGAATCCATGCACCATTTAAAAGTTTGCTGACCTGCTGTTGTAAGACGCTGAGTCAAGGCCCAAACCAGGGGCAACAATGCAAACAGAATACTAAAAAAAAAAATCTGGTAAATGCACAGGAAATAGGCTGCCATCTTAGGTGCATGCATAGAAATTTCACATGTGTACCATGTGGAAGGTCCTATGGGGAGAGAAAAATGAAGTGTGGATGACAGCAGCTCTCAGCATGTACCTCTTGTAGGTACTTCAGGCAACTGAGCACATACTTCTGTCCCATAGGTGACAATCTGTGTGAGTGTCTGGAGGCGGTTGGAGGATGGATGGCAGCTAACAGATTGAGGTTGAATCCTGTCAAGACAGAAGTACTGTTTTGGGGGGACAGGAGGCGGGCAGGTGTGGAGGACTCCCTGGTCCTGAATGGGGTGACTGTGCCCCTGAAGGACCAGGTGCGCAGCCTGGGAGTCATTCTGGACTCACAGCTGTCCATGGAGGCGCAGGTCAATTCTGTGTCCAGGGCAGCTGTTTATCAGCTCCATCTGGTACGCAGGCTGAGACCCTACCTGCCCGGGGAAACCCAACCAGATGGGCAGGGTATAAATAATAAATAATAATAATAATAATAATAATTACTATTATTAATCGGTCTATTCTAGAGGTCTATTGTAATTCTATGTGCAGATCGTAGGCAGATAAGGTTTCATTTTAATGTTGTTTGAAGCTTTGTATGTGAAGTTGGGGTATATGTGCAAAGCTGTCACTAACATTTTGCTGACAGAGGCAAAGGACCAGATGGTCCCCTGCACACATCCCTCCCTTGTACAAAAGATAGGATGTGGAACCTAACTTCAACATTTGCAGCAGTACAGCATCTTCTACTGCTCCCGAGGGCAATAGGCTAGCTTAGAGGATGCAGGGCAGGTTATGTAGCACATATAGTTTTGTTCCCTACCCTCTCATCCTAATTTTCCACCTTAGGCAGATGTCTCCCTCTGTCTCATGTCGGGACCAGCTGTAGGATGAGGTCTTCCTATTGCAAAAAACTACGTGTATTTTTTTTCATGTGCTGATAATTACTAGATTGGGGCTATGGTGCCAATCTTGAGAGCTGAAGCCCAAGTGGTATTATTATTAATATTATATGTTTATTTATACCCCATCCTTTTCATTGACAGGAATTAAGGCAGCTTACAGATAAAAACAAAAATTACTAAAAACATAGAAAAATCTATCATTAAAATACAATTAAACACTGATAGAATTAAAATGATATGCAGATATACAGGCCATAACCAGCAGTTTGAATTGTGCCTGGAAATAGATCAGTAGGCAGTAGAGCTGTTCTAGCAAGAGAGTCATCTGCTTCCTATAACCAGCTGTGCTATATTGGTATATAAATTTAATAATGATCATGATAGCAACTATATTAACTAGTGTACTTTAACAGAAGTTTTTATATTAAAGAAACAGCCAGCTGGAACATATGATAAAATACTCAGGCAATATTAACAAAGCCTGAACATAACATAATTATTTCTCTCTCTCTCTCTCTCTCTAATTCACCACTAACCTCCTCAGTCAGTGAGCTGGTATATCAATACTATAGGTGTCTTCTTCAGATTTTAATCTGTTTGTGTACTTTTGCCAACTGCAAAAAATGTAGAGACCAATTTAATTATGCTATCATCTTTGGCTGTCCTTTGATGTAGGGGAGATTAA